ATAAATAATCGTCTTTTGTCTATCTTGTAAAAAAAAATTGTAAAAATTTGTACTTTTATTAGAAAAATTTCATTATTTTCTGAGAATTTAAAAAAAAAATAAATATGTGTCTTGGCTTTATATTATATTAAATGACAAATTTGACGCATGACAAAATTGATGCATTTTGCAAATTGTGAATATAATTGTTATAAACGCTATTACTTCTAAGCGTGAAAATTATTAGCATGAAAATTCACGGATCAGAGATGTCGGCGCACTTTGCTCGTGACAGCTTGAATTTTTCTCGCACAGATCACATCCGCAGCTTATTTCCGCGCTTACATTTGTGCGAAAAATTCCTACCTAAGACGTGTACGCGTTACCCGAGGATCTTCTCTTGAAGGATCCTGTTCCGCGGAACGTAGAATTGATGAGAGAGACCATGAGAAATAAGAGACGTGTCTGCAATCGCTCGGCGAAGCTGTGCCATACTTTTCAGGATCGTTTATTGGATCCACATTGTGAAAGGTGAACGGAATACAAATTGGATCTTTGACGCCAAATTTGTGCGACATTTCGAAGAGGTATACGGATAGATAAAAAGTGCCAAAATCGATAATTAAATCGAACCATAAAGTCGGATTTCTCGCAAAATATAAAAAAATATCAACTTTCGTTTTTCGTTGATTAAATTGTTGCATAAAAACCTCTCGCACAATATTGAATTTGTATTCATTAAGAAAAAAGCCGGAAAAATCTCCTTTCAAACGAGGTTTTTGAGAAATCTTTGAATACGTCGCTTTACAGACCGCTGTTAATTCTTACTTGTGAATTACGAACGTGTTGGTTACCGCGAGCATAGGTTTCTACTGAAAGACGGGAAAAACTGTGCTTGTTCCGTCACTAATTGGATTACTTTGTAATTAGCGAAATACAGACGAAATACACGGCACGAACACCAACGCAAGGTAACGAAAAGAAAACAAAACAAAAAATAAAAACTTACTAAAATAAAATCACACTAAAACAAAAAAATCTAGAGAAAGAGAGATAGAGAGAAAGAGAGAGAAGGTTGAAGTAAATGAGAATTAAAGTATGTCATTTACTTTGTAAAATAAATTCTATAATAAAGTCTAATGTCACGTGTAAATCAGAATGAATGAACTCCGGTAACAAAATCGTATTACGGAAGAAAATCTGATTTGAGGTATCATATGTGCTTTCAGCTTTCAGGTGATGAGTCGCGTCGGCTTTGCGCCAGTGGTGCAAAGGCACCTGAAAAGGGCGTTGCGGAAGCTGCAAATCTCGGTGTGGCGACCTACGGCTCGGTCGTGTTTCAATTGAAAGATGCCCACCTCGAGGCGAACGGCATCTGCGACTTCGTCTTTCGTGCTTTGAGAGTCATCAGCAAGACGATGACGTTCACCATATGTCTGACCTGTTTGTCCACTGTGCCTATTTTGATGTTCATCTTCGGTGAGTTGAGACACGTGGTTAAATAAGTAACGTAGGATTTCGATTAATCTCTCGACCGTGCAACTCGAGAGAAGTCTTTGACCCGCGATCGACCATTTTGTAGCCAATTTAATCACGAGAAAGTGTATTCGAATAGCGCAATGAATATTATATAACAAGTAGTAGCTGAATAAGTGGGTCGAAAACGATCTCACCGAAGTTGATTCGATCCATTTTACACTTCTATACAAAAAAAGCGATCAATACCTAGTAGTGTATCTATATTTAAGTACTACAATGACAGAGTCTCGCGAAACTGGAAAACTACATAGCGTATCTTTACTCTTTAATCAGCGTAGCGCCTTTTAAAAATGAAGTATTGCCAGCGTGTTTTCTCTATTTTCAATTGTTTTCAATTGTTTTCAATTTTTTTCAATAATAAATCTTATTACCATGTAATATTATTATCTTGATAAAATTTTATCTTTTGGCTTATTTCCAATAGCTATGCTTTTTTCGATATCGCGATGTTTTTAACTATTTTCACTTATGAATTAATATTCAATTAATACCTAAAGGAATAATGTAGCGCGAATGATTGAACAGGATGTTCTCTTTAACTTTCTTTGTGTTTCAATAAATTTCGTAAAACCTTGTGGATTTTCTGATGCAAATTTTTCTTCATCACGTATATATCTCTTGAGACTCTTTTATTACTCTCTTTAACCTGTCTTAAGGGAGTAGCTTTACGCATAACCCAATGGGGATAATTTTGCAAATATCAAAGAAAATTTTTAACGTAATACCCATCAGTAACGCGCAGAGTTTAGTCCTTTTTCTTCTTTCAACTAATCTCCAAGTTCAGCTTGAGTTAAAAATACGGAGTTTGATAGCAAAAGATGATTCCCCAAGGTGTTTTACATGAAAGACGCGTCAATCGGTCTGAGAGATAAGGTTCTTTTATCAGTATTCTCCTGGCAAAAGTATTCCGCAAAAGTATATTTCACTATCGTCAACAATATAAATTTACACACGGACCTTTTTGCAACAAACTGTTGAAATTTTGGCTCCGAATAAATTATTTATTGATAATTTTTAAAGTTCGCAATCTGTCGATTAATTATATTGCTCATAATATACTGTTATCTATATAATTTCGTGGATTAGAGTAAAATATTAAAATATTACATTTTATGCACGTTTGATGAGGCAATCTTTTAAATGTTTCGTGTAATAATGTCTTTTACTAAAATGCAATTAAATTTAATGTAATTAGATTTCGAGATAAACCCGAAAATAATTTATCACTCAGAAAATAAACGATCCTGCTTTCTAATTTTCCTCGCATTGCGAAATTCATAAAGTTCATTTTATAACTTTGTAAAATTTATACTATACTAAATTTATACTAGGCTAATATTTTATTTATAATTTTATGTGTTATGAAAAACACACACACACACACACACACACACACACACACACACACACACACACACACACACACACACACACACACACACACACACACACACACACACACACACACACACACACACATGCACGCATTTGTAGAATCAGATACATAATACGTATATAAAATATATATATTAAAATATATGTACATTAAAATATGAGGCGTGTAAAATAAAATTATAAATAGAATCCCGACGCTGAGTTAGGGATTGTCTGAAATAAATACAAGAAATGGTTCCTCCATTGTTACCTCTTTCCTGTATCACAGTGTAAAGTTTCAACCAACGAAATGCAAATATTTAGTAAATGTTCACGGTGGTGCGTAGGAAGATATTTGCGGTAGTGCAAAGCAAATAAAATCTTACTTCCGCTAACAAATCTTTTACATTTTATAATAGTTCCCAGTTTGTTATCGTTGATATTTTACTCCTACATAATTTTATTCCTACATAATTTTGTATAGCACAATATTTATATACAATTTCAATATACCTTAATTTTAACTTAGCGAATCTCTTTAAATCTCTATCAAGCGAATTACGGTAACATACGCATTTTCCTTTCCGGCCAATTTAGTTGAAATTCCACGAAATATACGACATCGTTTCCAAGCTAATTAATGCTATCAGCATTACGACACGCAAATCGTTGGCGTGTTAAGCTTGCAGCATGCAAGCATACTTAATTTCTCGGGCATAGCTGGTTATTCGCACAGTAGGAGGCATGGACGCTCAACCTGATTTATGGTAAACCCGGTACATTCACCTTTCGGCAAAATCTATCTGGTAAGAACGCGCAATCGATAATAATGGTGTAGGTAACCCACAGAAGTGGCTGCGAATTGCCGATTCCGAATGCGGTTTAAATCTTTCATGAATGACGACGTGAAAGTGGAATCGAAGTCGTAGATTACCGCTTCTGCTTCGGGAACTTAATGGAGCACTTTACGTTTACGGGCTAATCCGAGAAATATAAAACTTATAGTCGAGTTTTCGACGTGTTAAAATGTTAAGAAAATTACCTCGTCGCGCATTTCGTATGGATGAGAAAGACAGGAAACAATCGACATATTACAAATGCCAATTGAGTCTTTCGCGTTGAACGAAAGCTCATCCAATCGTGTAAGTTCAAGTACTCATAATCTGCGCATTACACAATAAAATTAAAAGAATATAAAAAATTGAAATAACAAAATATTCTCTTGGTTTTAAAATATTACAAGTTTCTTTTTTTTTTTTTTTTTTTTTTTTTTTTTTTTTTTAATTATTGCAAGGTCTCTGCAACTATCAAAGTATTTAGGACGACACGGGTTATTGATATTTCTTATCGCGGCGAATGCTACAAAATAAATTCTTCACACCGTCGCAGATTATGCTGTAGTAGAAAATTAATAGTTTATACATACACAAAAGATGCGCATAATTATGAGGTACACATTATTCAAGTATACGTCACAGCCGAGAACCTCTCCAGGTTTGCATGTTATGTTATCCTAAGGTGAACGTCGAACCAGGACGTGATACACAGAATAGACGTCAGGCAATTAATGCTAAATTATTCCTTGCCGGCGTTGTAAAAAGCGCATAATAATGCGCATCAGATATACGCTAGATCTTAATTGATGAGCAAGAATATCGGTTAAGAGGCGTCTCTCTCTCTCTCTCTCTCTCTCTCTCTTTTTCTTTTGTCTTTTCGACGAGAAGGGACAACGAGCTTGCAGCATTAAACAAATTATTACGCCACATATTCTTTCTGCTTATTCCTCAAATTATAAAATATTCAGGTCACGAATAAAAGGAATGGATATAATGGACATAAAAAAAAAGACGTAGTCATAAAACGTTTGCTAATGAGGAAGATTCCGACGGGAAAATGACAAAGGTAGAAGTCGTATAATCAATTATCAAGTTTATTACCGCACCTCTTGCTTATATAATGCAACGTTGAAAATTTCTATCTAATTGAAGACTATTTCCCATTTTATATTTAGAAAAAAAAAAAAAAAAAAAAAAAGAAAATAATTAAATATTACAAAAGACAAATATCAATCAAATATCAATTTGTTATGTTCACAATTTTTTTCAAATTGAATCCAAACAAACACGAATCAATTAACACGAATTTCTTTGCTGTGCTTTCGGTTTTGCGCGCTCGCTATTCAACGCTTGTAACAGTCAAAAAATCATGTTTGAATTTCTTATTGCAGGTGTGCAGTTTATTAAGGATTGTCCGAAGGAGCCATATATTCCCGTATACATGTTGATTGGTGGTGTTTTGGGCGCCGTGCGTATGTTCTGGGCGCTGTATTCGCAAATATATTCCCGAAGGCCGGAAATCTTGTCCGTTCCCGCCGCTAGACCACACATCTCGCCTATGAAATTACTCTCCATAACTTTGTCGTGCTTCCTGGTCGCATGGTTCGTGTTAGGTAAGCAAGAAATTTCGTTCGGTATTGTACATGAAGCGTTATCGTACTCTGCGCCGGCAGTTCGCAAACTTTTGGGGCGTTAAAGCACGGAGGATTTATTCAACAAATGCAAAGTATAAGTCAGATTAGGAAAGCATATGTTTCGTAATATTCGGCTCGATGATTCCATAATAATATAATGCAAACGTGCATATATAAGTGAACATTGTTTCATACAAGGATAGAGAACAAGTTATAAATAAATAATAGCAAAATTGGAAACTCTATTGCGCTTTAATATTTCTTTACAATTATCTAATTTGATATATATTTTTTTACTTATCTCATTCTTTCTTATTAATGATTTTATTTTAATTATTCACATTTTAATTTATTATTTAATAAGCAATTTAATTTTATCACGTCATGTTTCATATCTTTTAAATACAATTCTCTAAAATCAGATTTACAGACGCAAAGAAATTTTCTACCTAAAAATTTTCTACCTGAAAAACCTAAATTTTTAGATCTAGATGTTCGAAAACAAGAAATTTCGAAAATTTCATTTAAACGAATGAAATGGCGGAAATATAAAGCTCGAGAAATAATTCCGTCATGGTTTTATTAATATTGTAAAGTATATTCAACTTCCTTACACGTTGATCTTAATTATGCAGCGCTTTCTGTATCAATGCTATTCTTATATAAGCAAATTTTTACGTTGGCGAAAATATTGGCCAAGTGACTCTGCTTTTATACGTTTATACTTGCAATGAAGGGAGTTTTAATAACTTGTCCTATCTTTAGCGATAAATGGATCAATATTAAGATACCGCGCATAGTAACGTCGCTGTTAGTCAACATTATACAGTTATCTTCATTTTTCAGAAACTATCGATATATATTAAAATATTATAAATTAGATTCACAAAATTAATCTATTTTTCTATTTTTTCATATTTAAGTCTAATTTTTTCAATTCGGGATTTTGAAGAATAATAGAAATTCACATGACATAAATTCACGTGAAATGGCAAAGAGCGTAAAGCGTTAAAAGCACGCGCAAAGGAAAATTTCGCAATTACAAAAAATTCACGGTTTATGACGACTTAACTGTTCGTGACCAAACTTCATCGTGCAATATTTACATTTCGTGCAATGCGCCGATTCATATAGTAAAACGCGATGGTTCGTTGGTCGGAGCGCAGGACAAAATTGCAAGCTGCTTAATCGTTCAGCATGTATGTCACGTACGAAATCGTTATTCTAAAGTTTCTGTCGAATGAAAGAATAAATTTTTGATCGAGTGAAAAAACGAAATTGTTGAGTAAATCAAACATACGCAAAGATAATTTTTTTCTACGTCTTGCTTTATCACTTAGCTCAGATAATTAATTTCTCATGCTCGTTGTGATATGTTGGTTTCTTCTTTTTTGTTTCAGGACATTATTGGATACTACATATAATGTGGCCGGAGTACGAACTTTCGTTATACGCGCCCAATAAGTGGTGTCATAAAACGCTCTATATTTTTTCATTAGTTCATCTGTGCGTAGTGTATGCGGTTTTATTTGTAATATTAATAGTGGCGGTCGGCCTGGCTTTCTGCAGAATTCTAGAATGCCCTTTACCAGAAAGGTAAGTCGATTTCTGGGAAGCACGAAATATAATTTGCGGTAATTTGCAATATAATTTCATGCGAGCGATAAAAAAATTAATTGTATTAATTGCAAGCCGACAACATTATATTTATTCTAAGACTTGAATATGCGATGATTCGCATAAATTTTCAATTTTCTATTCGTATATATTGCACATATACTAACACGATGTATTCCTACTACTAAGATTAATCTTCCTAAAAATTTAAACGACGGGAAAGTAATTCAAATGCGATACGAATTTTTCTTGGAATATATGAATTTGGCTCATAATGAAAGTAACGCACGGTGTTGACCTAATTCTCGGAAAATGTTTATGACGAAAACTACTTTATGACGATAAATCCGACGATGAAAAATATTTTGCCCTGGCGGCCACCACATTTCAATTTGCGTATATTACAACATTCGATACATTTGGAGAGCTGAGTAGCACGGGTCGTGTAACGTGAGGATCGTATAAACGCACACCGATCATGTTTCTGTACATGGCGAAATGTGAATATCAGCTCGCGTTGCGCGAGCTCAATATGCCGTAACGATCTGATTAGAATATTCGCAACAATTATAAGGGATGCATACCCCCATAAAAACCGTACTGTAATTCGGCCGGCAATGTAATTTGTGTTTCAAAGAAAAATATGGCAAGTGTTTAACCTGTTGAAATCGTACTATCTAAGTAATCCCTAACAAAAATATGTTCTCCAACTAGCACGGTACCGACAGAATCTTTCATTCTCAGTCTGTCTCAAATTGGCCGTACATACATGTACATTAAAAAGTAAAATATAATAAAATAAACTTTGTACGCAAGGCGACGAACCCAACGATCGATAAAAGCACACTCACGCTCCAAAGCGCGCCCTTTCTGCTCGGCTTTCAGATACAAATAACCACGGCGATCCGTTCGCCAGAATAAAATCCGTGAGAAGAAAAAGTCAGCGATCGGTGGGAGAGCTGGATGGCGTTTAGATAGAGGACGCAAGGTTTTGGAAGATCTGCAGGAGGAGGAGGATGACGAGGACGACGAGGACGGCACGCGGAGCGACGTTGATCTGGACGAGGACAATTGCAGCAACAAGATCGTGCAGGAAGTCAAGTATTGCAGCAAAGTGCAGTTTCGCGCGCCGGATATCATCGAGCTGTGATGCATAAACGATGTCGCGACGGAAAGGAACTCTGGAAACGGGGTGCCGCCGGCGGGGAAGCGCGAGTCGCAATCTCAAAAACTTTCCCGTACTAACGAGGCTGCTAGGGCCGCGGGGGGCAGGATTTGCGAGGAATGAAGGGAAACGGAAGGGAAAGGGAAGGGAAAGGGAAGAGAAACGGATAACGAGGTCGCGAGAGTGCCGCCGAAGCTCGACGGTGCTGTATCGCTTTCGTGAATAATCGAGGTCTCGATTCCCGACACGTGCAAGACCCTCGAGATGGAGATCCTCACATTTTCCGCAAAAGGGAAATTCACGTGACGGAAACGTAACGGCGAGAATCCGGATTGAGCGCGAAGAAATTGTCTCTCGGCGGATGAAACGGGGCACGATGGAATCCGACTGCGACTCGATTTGTTCTAATTAATTCGTAGAACGTGAAAGAGAAGACGCAGTTTTGCAGCAATATCGAAGTAGAGTTAAATACACAGCGAAAACGAATAATTCCCAGCAATCGCAATCCTTTCGAGGTGTAAATTAAAATATTGGCACTGAACTCTCATTGCTGTTTTCAATTTCACGGAAATGCGTATGACAAGGAGTATATATAATTTCATGGTGGATTCAACTGGATTTGATACGCGGCGAAGGAAATCCGCAATAGCAAAAGGGAATAGAATGAAACTTTCATCGGCGAAAGAAGATTACCCGACAAACTCTTGTAAGAATGATACTGGATGGAGTATGTCTTCGTGGAAACAAAGAATATTTTCCGAAGGATTTTATCTCCCTTAAGCGCCGTGGTTTCGATTTAAGTCGCGTCCTGGCTACGGTTTGACGAAGAAATCGATACGAAGACCTCCACTCGTATCAAAACAAGGATCTTCGATTTGTCGTTCTCGCAAATAATGCTCGTCCCTCTTTTTGCGCGCCAATTAAACGCGAAGGAATCGAATTTCGAAGAACGTAAATAATTTGATTGAACGGTCAAGCAATATATCTTTTTATCTCTTGGAAAACTTTGCCGAGAAATTCAACGTTATTTTAATGTCGATTCGGCGCAAATAATTATTAGATTCGTAATCAACGATCTTTCAATTATTTCAATGTGACAAACGTAATAGATCATTAACCTTATTCCATTTGTATTGTGTATAATTTCCAGCGGAAATACAAACAAGATACAAGAAATATTCCTCCTTATTCTACTTACAAATAACTTAATAAAAGTTTTGCCCAATGAATATTTCTGAATATTAAAATAAAATTATTCTGCCATAAAATTATTCTGCCAGATGTCTTAACAATTGAGGATTTCGAGTTTGAGTTTTATTAATTCCTACGTAGATACGCCCCCGTTGGAAACGTTCCGACGTGTAACAAATTCAACAAACTCAACAAACCGCGTTTGAAGACCGCGTACGAAGTTATGGAAAATTCGCAGAAATCCTACGACTACAGTTTTACGACTGTGTTACAATGCCGCGCGTAAAGTTTGCGGTTCACCCAAACGTGAAGAACTTGCGGCTTTGCGGAATTTCGCGTTATTACTCGTAACACCTGAAGAAACGAAAAATCGTGCGAAGCAAAAAATTAAAACGTGCAAGGAAGAGCGAAACCAGGTATCGACTTATCGGCGACGACGACGTATTCCTGTCGGCCGACACGACGCGCAAATCCACTTCATCGAATCAAGTCTGGTGAAAATAGTTACAGCAACTGCGTTCCTCTATTCGTTTAGTGACGGAAGTGATACCGAGGCCATCTGTTCCGGTTATTCGATGTTCTTCGTCGTGATGATAATACACGAAATTTCGTGCAAAGGACGTATCTAACACTCGGTCGCGAGAATACACAACTGCAATTTCGTAAACGTGTCAAAGTTTTCGATTGTTTCTCAATGTTCCGAATGTCCGATAATTCGAAGGTAAGTAGACTTGATTAAGGAACGTATATGAACTGGAAGAGACGCTATTTTCTCACTTTGTTTTTTATTCTTTTTTTTTTATATTAAATTATACGATAAAAACTCCGATTCTTCAAATCTGAATAATCCAAGTGACACAAACATCACATCTTTGTACTTTGTAGGAACAGAAAATTTGTAACATTATTTTTCAATTTTTATTAATTCCAAACGCATTCAGGTCGCTTTTCACGGATTCTTCTTTTAAGATAAAATCTGTCAAGTGCTTGCGAAATGTCAAAATGAATAAACTGTTGCATCATCTTTCAAAAGGAACCAAACGCACTTTGGAGTGCAATTAATTGCTAGCCGCGTACTATCGATAAGTACGTCAATTTAATCGATTAATTAATATACTTCTCACGAGAGAAAATTTTCGACCGTCGAAGACATTTTGTTGTTAATGCATTTTCGCATATATAGACACATATATGTATTCGCATATTACATTTTTACAAATATTTCTATCGTCAGCACAGATCATTACCATTCTCGTCTTACTCTCTTCAAATTCCACGGGATAAATAAATAATATAATTCTCGCGTTATCATTCGAGAAATGTCGGTTAATGGAATAGAAGTTAACGAACCAATTAATGATACGCCCGATGTTCTCGTTAAAATCCTACCTCGGTTCGATATTCAAATATGCTTTTTACTAGATCCAACAATTAATGATTCTTTTTTTTTTAATAAAAAGATTATTTTTTGATTATTTCTCGTAAAAAAAAGAGAAAAAGGAAGGTGACAAAAGTGTAAGAACGAGAATTCAACTTGGACGAAAGAAATTGTATTGATCACGCTGATTTCATAAAAATGATGAACAGAATAATAGAGTGAGTCAAAGTTGAAAGCCTCTGCTTCAAATAAGATGTAAAAACTGATGGAGTACGATCAGAATGCAGATTAAATTGAGCGAAAAGTAGGTCAGTGAGTGAGTTTCTGAGCAAAAATGCGATTCACCCTGCGATTCCTTTCATTCGCAACTACGAGAAATGCGTAGAAAACTGTGACGGGAATTCATATTTATTTAACAAAATACGTGTGAGAAAATATTATCGAACGTAAAAATTCCGTACAAATATACCAATATTACCCTAGATATAGAAGAAATTTAAAACGTAGGATGTTCGTTTCCGTCGTTCACAAACTACTCCGAAAATTATGAAACTTGGCGCAGTGTATCCGCGGAATTTACTGCACTTTCAACTTTTATGAAATGAGATGCACATTTCTAAATTTGAAAGTTTTATAATTAGGCTGACGGTACATTTCATTCCGTCGGTATAACGTGCGACTCGAATATTCTACGCCAAGGACATCGCGATTCAGACGTCGTCGTTTAGCAAATATGACTTTCGCGACCGATCGCACTTCAATGCGAAACACATGTCGAAGAAAAGAAAAAAATAGACCCAGAGAGAAGAAAGAGAGGAAATAAGGAACCATGCGTCAATTAAATCAAACGTCAGCAAAGCTTCGCTCCAAGCAGAATGCAACTCTCGCGAGGGCTGATATTGCATTAATAAATATAAACAAATTTCGAGAAGCAGTGATTGTAGACATATAAAGATCAGACATTAAATCCCATCAACGAAAATTTCGTTACACAAATGCGCGCGAATGTGCTCAAATCTAATATCGCGATAGAACACATATATATTTTTGCACATATATGGATTTGTATGTTCGTTTTATCGAATGCTTTCAATTCTTGCGACTACTTAAGCGGATAATTTAAAGAGTTTTTTACGTAGAGAGAAATGGAGTAAGCCTGACCCATGAACGTTAATCATAATTCCATTACGTCAATACTCGTTCTTTATGTACCTATAGTCACTGTACCGGGTCACATGAGTAAATGTTTTTTAAGCAGGCGAAAAAGCAACAGCATTTACTCGTATGACGCGCATTGTGCGTGTAAATATAGATATACTCGTACGAAAATAAGAGTAATTTTCCGATAAAACAATATTTGACCAAACGCAGCGATAGGCGATCTATGGGAATTAGGTGTTTCAACGGCCGTTAATTTTCGCTTCGGACACATCATCTTTACGTTTGCATCCTGCGACTGGTTCAAAAATTGGGTCCATATTTTATTTATTACTAAATAAATACGAATAAATAAATTGTATCGTACGGATTGTATCATAATTAAGGCTGTAGCTCAGTTCGTCAGTGTGCACGTGAACGTAAAATAAATTTCCGCTGGGAACGCGCCTTCCACGATATTTCCATACTCGTCGTTTATTCGTTTACCATTATTTCAACGAATGAAAATCCCATTCAATTTTCAATCGACCGAATGCTAGAAAACGAGAATACGCTTTTTATTACTCTTTACTTTCCATATAGAAAATTATTCAGTAAAATAATAATAATTTAAAGTAAAAACGATAATTGAAAATATAAAATAATTATCTGATTACATCGTCGAATTTTTAATTGATTCAGATTGTATCGATTAATATCGAAAGCATGATTCACTTGTTTTAGAACGTTATATACGTAAACTCGGAAAAAAATATCGTTGCTGCTTTTCTTCATGTAAAATATAACGTTCTATTTTTGGCAAAGTTGGAAGAGAACTGATAATATATTACTTTATGTCAAACGATGATGCAAAAGTTTCAGTAGAATCGTGACAGATAATAGTTAAATTGAGGTTCCGTCTATATTGTAAAAATGCGATGCTATCATAGCTGGTTTTGTAAAAACAACGACCATACGTCACAGTCAAACGTGACAGTTATGGATATAAATCATATGATGGCCAGAGGACACGTGCCCATGCATATGAAGCTCACGTGTGAGAAAATTCTGGGGACTAGTTTGGACGTGCGAATATCTGAATGTAAAAGTGACCTAATTCTGAATGTAGACATACGAATATGATCTTATTGAGATTAAACTTAAGTTTCCTGTGACGATTGACTCTTATTACAAAAGACACGTATCCAATTTTTTAAGTAATATTAACGACGATCCTCGGTCTTCTTTTTTTTCTTAGGAAATAAACCTATTATTCCGAAGTCGTGTTTAATTACAATCGCGTCTGCATTAAATTACCATTCTGAATATTACCATGAAGTTTGTAATATTACTGAAATGTAGGCATTTCAATCAAGGCGTTACACTTGATGTGAAACAAAAGCTTCAGATGGGGAAACCACATTGAATGCAAAATGTGCGGCGGGGATACGAAGCATCGTCTTAAAATCGCGTTGAAATTAGGGAGTTACTGTTGCGCGTAGTGACCGACAGTAAATTGCGCATCGATTTTCATTGGTGAAAATTCGACGCTCGTTCCGGGTTTTGCGGTACCTACTACATCGAGGCAAAAGGAAAGGAAGGGAGAAGAAAAGATGTGAATTGGCAAAGAGCGCTCTACATCTCTCTAGCGAGCACATCAAATCCCGCTGCACTCTATGCTGCTACCCTGATATCTCGTGAGAATCAATTTGAAAATGCGAAAGCTAAAATTCATTAGTAAATTGAAAATTTAAACGTATATAAAATGTACATTGAACTTTCATTAAAACAATAGATAATTTTGACAATTATCTTTTCTCTTGCAAAATATATTCAAGTCATGTGAATCATGCATCACTTGATATGATCGACAATCGATGAAATTTTCTCTCTATTTACTTTGTATTAAATAATATACGTTATATTATGCAAAACTAAAATTAAATACATTTCTTGATAAATCATGTTATTATACATCTCCGTACTTGCGCAGTGGATATAAGCGTTCTTAGCTAACAAACGTACAAATGTCAACGATTGTGAAAGTTTGTAAATTAGGGAATTACAACGAGAGAGAAAAAGAAAGAAAAAAAAGGTGTGTGT